GCCCTAGGCTTTATATAGTGATGCCAGTAGTAATTAATAATGATAATAAATACTACACTTCATAACCATACCCAACCTGAGGATGACTGAATGATTGGACCTCTGCCTCCCACCTGCGCGCTGTTAGTCCGCGAGTCCACACCCTCTCATTTGGGTCTAATCCAGCTGCGGGGTTTCAGCCATCACGTTCTGACTGGGGTTCAAAAGAGGGTCTGCTCCCCGCGACCAGAGAGATGTGTAGGTAACACAGCCGCTCAGAAAAACCTCAGGGAGCGCGGGCGGGAAGATAGGGAAGTTTGGCTTTGTAGTATTATTCAGTATCAGAAAATAATCAAAATGGGATGGTAACTTAGGCCCCACTGAACTCGGTTTAGTTTTCCTGCGAAGTGCAGCGGGGGCTGCTTTGGGAGCCCAGCTTCGGCCTGGGGTTCCCCGGCTCCCCAGACCCCAGGGCCTAACACCCCCCAGACCCGACAGCCCGGGGGCCTTCACATTCCCCGTGCTGCGGCCCGAGGTCCCGCGGGGCCCATCGGAGGTCTGGGCTGCTCAAGTGGAGATCTCAGGGTGTCAGGGCACATCCAGGCCTAGGGGAGGAAGGCCGGCGCCGGGGTGGAATGCCTTTATCGGATCCGCGAGCCACCCGCTTCTCCTTCGCTTCTTTAAGCGATCACAGAAAGACACCTTTCGATCTTTTGTCAGACATCTTGGCCCTTAATAGCTAAATTTATTTGGTTTAAAGCGGCCTTGGGAGAAGCAGGGAGGGAAAATCTTTCGTCGGTCATTGGGTGGCCCAGATAACAAGCTTTAAAAGAGAGAGGGGAGAAGAAAGTAAAAAGGTTAATGGATGAGGGGAGGGCTCGAAGGCGCCCAGCGTGGGGCTTTTACAGCGACCCTCCCCCGGCCGCCCCCTTATCGCGGCCCTAACTTACCCGTGGCGTATGAAGTACATTAAGTCACGTAAACAGCGCACGGAGAGGAATGCCACCGCGGTGACCTTTCGTGCGCC